CGTTCTCCTGATAAAAGTATGTCACTACATGATCAAACAATGGTTAAATACATGTAAGTGGTCCTCAATGGGATAATTTTTTACATGCTTATAAAATTTACTCAATAAGGTAAAGTGTATTACTGCTGCATGATTTACAGTGTGATCACATAACTCAGTTTCATCGGTATCGTTTAATTTTTCTTACATTATATTTTAAATTTATGGCATTTTCCACAGCTAATCCTAAAATCAAAGCTACTCATATATGATTTCTCGACACCACCATAAAGCTTTGTTACCATTTGACAAGCACGTAATATGGTCGGTCTGTAGCGTGGCGTGGAGTCGAGTTGGACTATGAACACCACTACCAAAAAACACATGCCAAAGAAATCAGAAGGCGAAGGTTGAACGTAACCAGATTTATTCGGTTGGCGATCTCGTGGTATCGAATGAATACCGAGATCGTGCCAAGAAATGGTATAAGCGAAAGCAGGAGAAAGGAGCGCGTGCGAACAGTACCAAAAAACCGTGGAACAGTGATGGAAGGTAATGGAAGCGCAAACTGGCTATAGTTAGCACAGTTAAACAAAAGCACATTAAAACAAACACTGGTACAGTTGGTTGTAATAATAATTGTTTTTATTAAACCAGTCGTGTTCTCGTGATAAATGTGAGTCACTACAGGTATAAGCGATGAAACTAAGAACTAAAACAGTCAATAACCTGACTAATAACTCTTCACAAATACTGTTGTTTTCTCAGTTATGTTTATACGAACACTGACTAAAAATTCAGTTCATTATCATAGACATGGGTTGGGAGATATACTCATCTTGGCTAAAACCTATGCTTTCATGGCTTGTACTCACTCAATGTACGAACACTTAATTAACTGAAGATACCATACAGTATATTGCTTAATAGATTTCACACATTTTATAAGTGACCCGTTAGGTAATCAGAACATTGAGTTTACGACATAAATCCCACAGCCAAGCTCACGTCAAACAAATTATTGTCCGTGGTCCATACGGAATTCTTATCACTCGTGTTATGTAAAAAACCATATTTTATATAAACAAGTATTTTTTCTTCTTTGTCATATAACTAAAACTTACCACGCATGTGGCTTTTATATTTGATTATTATTAATCTAAACAGAAAAAGCTAGTACAGTGCATACTCTAAGCGTCTAACATATTGTCACAATGTGACCTAATAGTGCACTTTGGTATAGTAATTTGCCCTTTCGTTGTTGTTTTTCTTTATGTCTGAGCAACTTACAATCAGCGAGCATCATATTACCAATCCGTTCTGGAGTATCGTGATCGTGATATGGCTCAACCAAAAAATCACTCACCTAACCTATGTCTTAGCATATCACTGGCATCGCTCTGTTGAAGTTTAACAGAACAGGTAGCCATGTGGCTGACAGGAAAATCGAGTTGAAATGCCAAGGATATTAATTAGATCTACGAATAGAATGGATTTGTCTTAAAACCAGGAATTTTTTGAACGGGTCTCTTGATCGCTCATCGTATGGAAGTGCCAGGATCTGAAAAAATAGAACTAATACTAGATGGCGAAGATAAGCATTATAGAATTTTAAATCTTCGGGTGGCCAGATATCAAAAAGGAATGATTACGGAGGCTTTTTTGATGAAGCACCGAGGCTTTTGACTAGACTTTGAAACCTTTACGCAAATTCCTGGAGCCTACTTGAAAATCAGTGGGAACTAGGTGCACAAATTTGCCGTATCAGACAGGGTATATCCACCCCCTCAGAAAATCAAGTGACCTTGTGTGTCATTAGACTAACTTTTCGCTATTATTTGATAAAAGGATTCGTACTCTTTTACCTAGATGGAAGGGAACGTAGGAAAGTTTAAAATTTCCAGTCAATTGAGAAACAAGGTCTCGAGACAGAAGTATTTATGTCTCAGACACATGTTAAATTAGAAAGGAACAAGAATAAAATCTTTTGGTCTGTAGATTACATAAAACACATTTATTTATACACAAAACAAAGCACGAAAATGTGCAGAAACATTCGGACATTCTATGGAGATGGGAGTGTTACATCACTAATCGAAGATGGGCAAGATAAAACTTAGTTATCATCGGACCAGGCCGACACTGAATATACCATAGAAGCATCCTTACGTCGAGCGCATGTAAATCCTTCCATCCGTATTCTGGAAATACCAACCATTGAAAAACTCGATTTTTTTTTGTTTTCAAGTATTCTCGATGGAGGCAGCTCTATGAGACCCAATGAAATTCGTCCTAAGTTGTCAAAAGAACTCACAAACTTCAACCCAGATCCTTTAAGTATTTGTTTTGGTCTATTTGTAACCCAAGGTAGATACAGATGTTAAGGTACTAATGAAGATTTGAAGGGAGCTATTCAAGTAACTAGACAAATGTCTGATTCTCTCGAAAAGTCAGTAATCTTTTAGTAAAGGTTATTCATGTTCCCCAAACTTATTTATAGCTTGAGAATGTTTGTGTACCCTTAAGTTGTACGCATCAAGCTGTTATCTTGATTAAATAATGTAAATATTGTAGACAACTTATCTATGTGAACGAACAGGTTGTCGGTTAAATACTAACAAGAAGCACTGGTCAGTTCCAAGTGGTCAAGATGGAAAGTTGTTCTAAGAGGGTTACTGAAGGATTCAGTTTGGATACCAGATATATTCCCGTGCATTCAAACGTCTCACTGGTTTTATATCATCATTGTTTTTGTCATAAGCTGAAAAAATCAAGATGTAGAAAGGGATGAAAAATAAAGGGAATAGACTAGGTGTTCATAATGATAAGAAATGATCTGAATAGTGAATAAAGATGACAAATGCTTCCAAGTGCATGATGGTGCGTGTTGGTCATCACGGTACAGGTACATATACAGTGAATGATGCTGAATCCTTCATTATTTAGACATAGTGATCAATATGTCTTTGATAATGATTAAAAGCTACTGCATACTGCCATGCAATATCTGCTAATAGTTTCAGAAACATCTGGCTAATACATAGGTTCTCTAGCCACATAAATGTTAGGACCTTCATACATTTTCAAGTATTATTCCCCCGTCCCAAATTTGAGTATTGCAAGAAGATATTCACCTAAAACAGGCAAAGAGCTGTCAGAAAAAGTTAATAGAACACCATCTAAGTTGATTCCTGGAATCGCAAGACGAGATGCTATTAAATTATGCATATTTCTCAGTTACATATAGGAGCTAGAGTTGACTTGATTGCAGTTCCTTAAATCACTTGTTATTAGTTTTGCGTGCAAAACAACCCAATTTTCATTGTCTTTCAAAACGGAATTTACAAGGGCGCTCCATAAGAGCTTGTAGGACCAGAGTCATTTACCTGTCAAATGACTACAAAACTTCCTGCTTAATGATGGATGAGCGGAATTCTTTACCATAACAAGTGGTCGAGGCTCCACCCATCTACGCGTTCTAGAGAGAGCTGGATCAATTGAGAGGCCATCATTATCAGGACTAACACATGCGATTGAACCTCCTATCCTTCCCTAACTGTAACTGAAACTAATTTATTCATTTCTCCACTTTTGTCGTCAACCCATTCATCTGAACACTAGTTTTATGAGTTCTACAATGAAATCAGTCAGTCTTTTGACCGGTAATGTAGCAGATGCTTTTCAGGCTCGGAACCTGAAACTCGTTTTGACCATTTCATTAGGTTGATAAAACAGCTACTAAATCAGCTAATGCAAAAGGATATCTCCGGAGTCATCTTGCTAAAGATGTATAAACTAGGCGGCTAAACGAACTTGAAACAAAATTAAACTGCTTAAAGCTGTATTTAGATCTCCTAATGAACAGGACTTACTATTACAGAGTAGAAATAAACTAAGAGGATAGAGAGGTTTTGTCTGTAAAGATTTGCGGCTCGCAGACCGTATAAAAAGACAAGAAGCCGGAAAAGAACTGAAATGTAGGTTGATAGCTGGCGAAAGAACCTAAAATTTGTAAATTTTCGGGTTCTGAGATTTCTATAGAGAATGGTGCTGAAGCCACTCTGGGTGAAACACGAAGCAATTTAAATAGATTTCGGATCAGTTACACAAATGCCCGAAGCTTATTCAATAAGCTGTCGAATCTAGGTCTACGGATTGACTCCACCAACCAGATGTAATCGTAGACACAGAAACGTGGCTGGCGCAGTCTCTAGACAGTATGGAATTTTATTTAGAAGGCTTCGTGTTGGTTGATGTCGTAAAACTCCAGAGGCGTAAAGGAGGGGGAGTAGGTCTATTCGTTAGAACACTATCTCATTTGCCATTATTGACAGTGTATCCCATTAGAGCAGGACGTCTGAATCAGTTAGTTACCGCTTGAGATGCAAGGGATAAAAGCTACTGATTTGTTCGGTTGACCGCAGTCCAAGAAATAAGGTAAATCAGGCCTTTGGTCTGGCAAATAAGATTGATACGAGCAAATCATCGGAACCTGATGAAATGCAGCCTTAGTTACTAAAGAAATTATATGCTGATGATGCCAAGATATGGAGAGCGATTAGAGCTCAGAGCTTCAAAATGATCTGGAGAAATTACCTGAATGGTCTCAAACTTGGAAGTTGACGATAAATACTATCAAGCGCATCGTGATGCATACTGATCGTCAAGGTAGAGATACATATACGATAACACTGAGCTACCTGTGTCCAGACACACAACGATTTAAGAGTCATCGACAGCCAAGACATAAAAAACTACTGCACACTGCCAGGGAATGGCCACCAAAGGTTAATACGATGGGCGTTTAGCCATGTCAATGTTAAAACCTTTTTGACTCTGTATACAGTCCTTCCCAAACTTAAACTGAAAATTTACTGGTGTGGGAATAATACCACAAATAAATGTTCACTAGGAATAATGCAGTCAAATGACAAGAAAGGATTCATCATACTCTACGAAAGATTCGATCTCAAAAAATAAATTTCTTTAAGCTAGCTTGGATATTGATCCTTGGAAAGGTCAAGTTGTGCTCTCAGGGTCGTTGGTGTTGTGTCCGAGGGACTTTTACAACTTATGTTCTGGCTATGTAGCACCTCATGATTCTGAATGCATGTTTTCCCCAATGGTCAGAAGTCTGGCACCAAAAATGTCTAAAAGTCAGGGAAGAGTGGAAAAAAGCAAATTTCGTTAGCTTCACATGACCGCTTTTAAAAGCGGACAATCGGCACGGCGTATTACCCAATTTAGCAATCGCTAAGAAGGAAACGCGACATTTCCTCTCTATTCACGCTTTAGTATGCTTTATTTCCTCTTTCTTCGCCTTTATTTCCTCTTTTTGTGTTGCTTGGGAAGAACGGGGAGATAAAGTGGACATTACCTAATGAAATTCGGTGTCGATTCAGATTGTACTGCAACTAAAAGCCGCCTTCTCTCACTCTCGAGAAGTTATGAGACAATTCTCCTAAATGTCCCTACTTTTTTTCTCTTTCCGGATTTATTTCACTGGATTATACTCCTTGGATAACATCTACAAACCTTAATCTTTCCGATTAATGCTTATACTCTTACCACCTCTACCACTACGGGGTTTGAATTGACAACTGCATCTCTGCTTTAATGTGGTGTGGCAACTCGAACTGATGTACGTACGTACGAAGTTCTACGTTGTTGCTGACTGACATGCTGCGATATGTATATGAATCCACGCCTTAGTGATCGCCAAATTGTCTGCTTTTCGCATTAATTTAAGTAGAATTGCTTGATAATTGTTAGATAAGCTAGTCACGAGTTCTCTAACTTGCACTATAATACTACTGGACTGTAATAAGGCCCATGGTGTACAGCATTTTCCCACAAGTGAAGAATACATTGGCTTTTATAAGTGATTTCTCAGTCCTATAGGACAGGTTGTTGTCGACATGTGTCCTTAAAAGTTACATCTATATAAGTGCAGACTAGTTTCCTTGATTCTTTACCAGGCCTAAGTGGTTATATAAGGGATCTCAAAACATATAAGTGTATTTACTTCAGAATAAAATAGCGTTGGAAACCAGTCGTTTTTCCCACCATGATCCATTGTGTTCGAACTCGTGTACACTACCTCACTGCATTGTCGAGTGGGTATGGCTCCTCCGATTTTGTTCGACCTCATCTTCATGTGAAGATAACATACAAAACTGATGGATTTAAATCTTCCTTAATTTTCTGTAAATGGAGTAACTTCGGAGTTATTCGTTAGGAAGTTGTTACTTGGTATCTTTTCCAAGTTGTCCACGCAATCTCATTAATCTGATTATTCTTTGTGTATCGTTTTTGTATTAGTATTATTACTCACGATGGCCTATACCAAGTAGATTGGGAATTCGGATCACAATATTACTGAGAGCATGTTTAGGTTTCTTAGGACAGCTGGCGTATGCATAAAAATGAAATTGAATCAAAATAGTAGTGAGTGAACGCCACAATAGACTGAAGTAGCAATAGTACTGGCTTAATACAGAAATCAGAATTTCACTTGCACAAAATTTCGTGCAATTGTAGAATCACCCGGAGTTGCATTGTATACGTCCATCGTGAATTGAATAGAAATATATCCAAAGTCTTCAATGATGTGTTTTAAATTTTAATCAGTTGGTAAAACGATAGAATAGGACTAACAGTTCGATAGACTAAAAAACAAAGGCATTGTAAAGATATACATGTAAGGGATTAAAGTTAGTCACATAATTAAACATAATTTAGGGAATAGGATTTGATTGTAAATCCAATAGTCCAATGTTCGATCAGAGTATACGGTTATGTGAATCAACATGTTCGGACTAGTATAGAAAAATTACATTGATTTCGAGTAGCCAACAATTAGTGCTATTTAGCTCTACAGAGTAAATTACCTTGTTCTCTATACTCATTCGTTGATTTCTTTCCCGAAGTTTTTGTTAAGCATCACTCCACATTCAACACTAAACTTACCTGACTATTCATTTAAGTGTGCTTTTAGCTTGATGTTTTGAGTGATATTTAATTTATTTCAAATCGGTTTCATTTTTATCTGATTTAAGATGGTCAACCCTATAAGAATGGAAATTGATTTAACTACCCAAGTGGCTGAAGCTGCAAATATTGATCGGAATCTAGTCAGTCGTGTGATTCCAATGTTTGAAAATGGTTTTACTGTGCCATTTATTGCACGTTATCGAAAAGAAGTAACTGGAGGCGCAGAACCAACAGTGTTGCATAGACTGAAGGAAAAAATGAATGACTGCAAGTAACTGTGACAGTAGTTTTCTTAGTGTATATGCTTGTAGAATGCTTGTTGATAAAATCGAGAAGTCACTCCAGTTTTTTGATAAGAGTGGATTACTAACGAATGAATTATCGCAACAGTTAATGAAATGCAAAACAACTGAAGATATTAAGCTTTTGGGAAGTTTATGAGATTTTGAACTTTAATAGAACTTTGTTAGACAGATCCCTTCAAATCTAAGGGTCCACGCACGCTCGCAGGTCGAGCAAAAGCTGTCAATTTGGAACCTATTGCTTTGGACATACTTCATTCAAATAGGTGTGTTGATATGTATGGTCTGGCACCGCCAGAAGCTAAAAGTAAGGTTATTTAGTCATACTTAAAGTATTTGTATTTCATTAGGATAGTTTTATAGTCAATATCAATACTTTGGGTTCACAAAGTTTCTTGTCATAGAGCGATAAGCTGCCAATGCTTTCAGGTAGGAATAGCCGAAACAAAATAAAGATGGAGCTGTGGTTAGCCGATGGATAAAACTGTTAAATCCTCAAGAGTATACAACTTGAGTCTAAAGAAATCCGTTAGATGTTCTCAGACTATCTAAAGACTGAATTTCAAAGCTTGATAGTTAAGAAATAAAAATTACAATTACGATGCGTTTCACTACTTAAATTCCAAATTATGGGTATTTCATTTACGGTCCGTTTTCCATTTAAACTTTAACTAACATATTAGTGTATAAACATTAGTATCAATGTTGGGATGTGATGATTCCAATTGGATCAAGTCGACCATTAAACCTATGATATAGTTGTTGCAGTATTTGACTTGGTAGCTCAATCTTCGGCTTGTATACCTTGGTATTGAGAGCCTATGACATCACGGCTACTCGCATTAAGTGTGCATCAAGCTCGAATGCTTTTATTTATTTCTTTATTTAAACATAAACATTGGTGCAAGGAGGTACCGAATTTACGTGCGCCACACATTCGATTTATGCGAGGGTTGGGATATTGTCCGGGTGGCCAAACCGAAGCAGGTGGTTTTCTTAGGGAGCCCTCCCTGAGCCTTTGACATCGAGATTCAATCCAGAAGGAAGTGGAGCAACGTCAGGAGATGCATTCTCATAGTAGCAAGTGGTCGATAATAGGTCCATACGATTTTTGTTCCTTAAGGATCCAGGAGCCCATTTGCACTGTTGGTTTTGGATCAGGGTTTTTCAACGCCTCTAGATGGATCCTTGATATCCACCAACCAGATCGAAGCTACGAACATTCGCTTTTCGTCCTCTCAATTTCGTAAACAACATCCTTGTTGCGATAAGGCAGTGAGTGGGACTTCCCTGATAATGGCTGTATACGCGTGGTCATGTATTTATCAAATGTATTATTATTGTTATCAGTATTGGGTCGTGGAGATCATTGAGTTTTTGATTGAGATCATGAACCGATTGATGTTAGACCAACATTGAAAACCTGGAAGCACTGGACGGTCGTTTCGTCCTACTTTTGGACTGCTCAGCAGTGCGTACCAACGATCCTGCCGGCGGGATTCGAACCCCTCGGTCTCGCATGCGAACGCTTAACCTCCAGATTACTGAGCCGGCTGGCATCCAACGGTGTTAATGTCTAACCTCAACCTATCCACGAAATCGCGCGACTGTCTCCCATTGTACTGAGGTAGATACCTGTTTCTACCGGATACGGATCATTATTATAATTATAATAATTATTGTTATTATTATTGTTTTATATTGACCATTACAAAATGCTATTCCAAAATTTGATTACAAAACTGGCGTAGCACATTTCCTCCACGTTCAAAATGGTCTTACGTAACTATTCTTCTCACTTTTGAAATGTATTTTTCTGCATAAATGAAATGAACATATAAATATTGAATCTTATGTTCTGTTTTTCTATTGTAGAGACTTTTACATCGAAAACGGCCCTCGAAGATGCTGTATCTCATATCATTGCTGATATTTTTGCTAAGGATTTAGATATAATCCGAAAGGCTGAGGAGTTGTACGTCAATTCTGTGTGTTTGTAATATCTTTTAAACTATATTTTTAAGAAAGCGAATTATTTATTTTCGGAATTCCTGAATAAGAACACATTCAGGGTGAACATTGTTCATATTTTTTCATGGATAAAATTTATTAAAATGAACGTTTCATTTAATTCGCATACAGTTTGAAATATTGGATATCAAATTATATTAGCAAAAATCTCCATGACTTAAAGTTCCAGCTTGCAGACCATTCAGAATTTCTCATCGGAAATAATCAGATGCAAAATGGTGTTCAAGTAGCCTTTCGTTTGTCTATAGCTATGAAACAACCTATGGAAGTGGGAGACGTGTGTATGGTGTAAGCTTTTGATCGTGGTTATCTTCAATGCATTATTTACATGTGTTAGGACCCCCGAGTTCAACACCCTGTTAAAGGCGAAAGTACTAAACCAGTTATAGCTGTCAATCTTCACCGATTGAAGTTTGAACGGACATATACACCAACAGAGGGCCTGACAAATGTATTTTAGTCCAATTTGCCACATCTGATTAGCTCAACTCTGAAAATAATGCAAGAGGTTGAAATAATGTAGCAGTGATAAGATTTATTTATTTATTTATTTATTTGAACACAAATATTGGTACAAGAGAGCGCCAATATATATGCGCCACACAAAACAATGAGAATTTAAAGAGAATGAAAAAAAGGTAAGGAGCGTGAAAAAAAGAGAACAACAACGACCAGATTAGTGTAAGGTAGTGTAATAGTAATAATAATGGGGGAAACGAAAAAGGTAGAATCAGAAGAAATCTTTCAGTTAAGGAACATACAACCACTTTTTACGAAAAAAGTAAAAGAACGTTACAGCAGGATCGCCACTGGCTTCTATTCTGAACCATATCTGATAAGGTCTCTAGCCACTGTGTAGCACCATCTCTCTGACCCCAACCAGGCAGTCGTGAAGGACCAACACAAGTCAGCCCTTTGCAGCTTTCTTTCATACCACGACACCAAGTCATGCACTGACCACCTCTCCGCTTTTTCCAACCAGTCTCAGAGTTGGCAAATAATGCACGACGTGGAATTCTCTGGTATGACATTCGTAGAACATGTCTAAGCCACCGAAGTCGGTGTTTCCAGATGGTGACACCGATTGCATTATCATCTCTGTGCCCGAACACACAATGCCTAACCTCTTCATTACTAACACGGTGTTGCCAAAGGTGGCCCATATTGACATAAGCCGCTCTGGCTTTCACTATACGTGCATTGACCTCATCACTCACACCCCCACCAGCACTTATGCAGCTACCCAGATACACAAACTTCTCGACTACTTCTATCTGTTCACCATCCAGAGTGAGCACAGGATTGGAATCCTGCCAGTCTTGTAGAAGTACTTTGCACTTGGAAGGTGTAAAGCACATACCATACCTACGGACACTGATTGTCAACTGATTAAGTGCGGATTGCATTCCTTGGGCATTATCGCACAGTAAGACAATATCATTCGCATACTCGAGGTCGAGAAGTCTTTCTCCAGGCAACAGATCTACACCACCATTACTTACATCCATCAGAGCTGTTTCCAGAATGTCATCGATGGCAAAGTTGAAGAGGAATGGTGAAATTGGGCAACCCTGCCTAACCCCACTGCTCGAATGGAACAATGGAGAGAGGTGATTGTATGCCCTCACTCTGCCTAAGGTGTTTTTATATAGGGCTTTTAGGATGTTAATAAACTTCTCAGGCACACTCTTCTTCAATAGACAATTCCAGAGAACAGTCCTATCCAACGAATCGAAGGCAGCCCTGATGTCATGAAACAATACGATTGTTGACCTTTGATAAGTATGGCGGTGTTCTTACATTTGACAGAGGGTGAGATATGATCAATACATCCTCGACCAGAACGAAACCCAGCCTGCTTCTCGCGAGTCAATCTTTCCCGGGTTTTGAACAACCTACGAAGTATGACGAAAGCCAATAGCTTGGACGCAATCGGAAGTAGACTTATTCTCCGATAGTTGTTACAGGAACGACGTGAACCCTTTTTAAAGATAGGGACCACTGTCGACTCATTCCACGACGTTGGTGCACTCTCTAGCTTCCAAACCTTTGTAAACAACGTCGTCAGTTCCTTAGTCAGAAAGTTACCACCATCTTTAAAAAGAGCCGGAGGTAAGTCATCTGGGCCAGGTGATTTGTAGCGCTTCAAGAGTTGGGGTTCCTTGCGGACTTCCACCTCATTTGGTGGATCAGTCGTCACCGGCCATGGAGGGCAGGACAGTCTGGCCGATGTTGCCGGAGCAGCAGGCCAGTTGAACTGCCCTTCGAAAAATTCTGCCCATCGTCCAAGACGTCGATGGATGTTAGTGATTGGCATCCCATCATCCTCGCAGATTGTTTCGCTCACACCAGACTTCTTCCTGCCAGTGGCTCGGATGAGTTGGAAGAGCTTCCGGTAATTGCCAGATGCAGCTGCTGCTTCCAGCTCATTAGCACGCTCCGACCACCAGGCTTCTCGGTCCTTACGCAAGCTTTGCCCAATTTCGTTACGTAACATCCTTCGTTTGTGGTCAAACGCACGGTCACCGTGAGTAGACCGACGGGCTTCAATGAGTTGTAAGGAACCAGAAGAAACCCAGTGCTTATAAGCGGGACGTTTCGCGAACCCACAACTGACTGTACCCGCCATTTTCATGGCGTCATGCAATTGCAACCAATGCTCATCTATACTTGTCGGTGGAATGGTAGCTAGCGTAGAAACTAGCTCGGTTCGATACTTACTAGCAACAGAAGTTGCAACCAGCTTGCCAACATCAATACGTTGGTGGCGGCCTCTTCGTTGTCCACTGAAAAGTAAGGTAAGATTGTTGCAGACCAAGGTATGGTCAGAGTCCAGATAGGTACTCCAGAAGGAGCAGCAGTCTTGTACACAACCACGCCAGCGGTAGCTGATCGCGATGTGATCAATCTGGGTCCAGGCTTGATATGCAGAGGGAGGACGCCAGGTGGCACATCGGCGATGACTGTGCCGAAAGTTAGTGCTAGCCAGAAACAGGTTGTGGTCTGTGCACAGTTGCAGTAGACGGTCCCCGTTATCTGTCCTGCGACCAAGTCCCCATCGGCCACCTAAACGACTCTCTTCTGTGCCTGACCTGAGCATTCAAGTCTCCGGCTAGTACTACAATATCTGTCGAACGCACTTTCTGGAGAAGAACAGATAACTGGTGGTAAAACTCATCCTTGATTGCATCCGGGCTGCAATCTGTCGGGGTATAGGCGGAGATAACGAAAAGACATCGTTTCTCACGCCGATTTCTTCCCACTTTGATGGAACTCTCTAACCTAACAGCACATAACCGACTGTTAATGGGGACCCAATCAATTAGTGCTGCCTCAGCTCTAGCGCTTAGTGCGACACCGACGCCAGCTAGATCAGACGAAGATGCCACAGGGTCCCCGGATAAGCGCACGTAAAACAAACTTTTCGAAGCATCAGATGAAGAGCGAATTTGTAGTACTTCACCAGAGTCTTGAATACGGGTCTCGGATAGACAACACGTCGATATTAAGACTTTCCAAAGACATAGCCAGCCCTATCTGTTGTTCAACCTGTGTAAGTGTGCAAACGTTGAGGGCAGCCAGTTTAAATGGAGCACGTGGTTTCAGAAAAACTGCTTCAGTACTCATATTCGGTGGCAACATACAATTTTCAACCGGACAGTGACTCGAGAACATTTAGATACAGTTGAATTTCTACCCAGGACGAGCTGCTGTATAAGTCGAAAAAATAAGTATAGACAGAGTAAGAATAAAAGAAGGTGAATAATGTGGTAAATAATAATAATCATCATCATTTGAATCATTTAATTGTTAGTTGAAGCAAGTAAAGTAGTTTCCATAATTATAGGCAGTTCATCCTTTGTGTGTGGGCTGTGATATTGCTCGGGTGCCCAAACCGAAGCAGGTGGTTATCCTAGGGGACCACACCCCGAGTCTTTGACCTAAAGGTCTAACCCACAAGGCAGTGGAGCATCGTAAGGAGATGCAGTCCCATGGTAGCCGGTGACCAACGATTGGTTCATACGCCATTTGTTTCCGCAGGATACTGGAGCCCATGTGCACCATTGGTTTGGGATAAGAAAGACTAAATCGTTTGAGTATGGTTGGCGAAGTCAGGCTAGAATTGTGGGCACGATGGAATATTGGGATTCAAGATCAAGAGGAAGATAAAGAGTTCGATTGTGCCATCGTGAATGATTTCTATCCGTATGACTCAAAGTCTTCAGCCACTGGCCATAGTTGTTGTATGATGCCCAGCTAGGTAGTCTGCTTCTACCTATATCGCTTAGCCCAACATTTTGTGACTAGATGAACTGATGCCAGATTTTGGATTAGGTGGCCCTAGCTTCTTTCCAGTCTACTTCTATATCATGGAGCATCTGTCGTCGAAGTAGGCAGTGGTTAAGTGAGCGTGAGAATATTGTTGGTGTTAGTCATGTTTATAGATATAGATTACGTGATCTTAACCTGCATAATAAACACTACCAGTGGTTGGATACTCTACGTTTCATGAGTCAAAGTTGACCACCGGTGCATTTACTTGATCTTCCCTAAATTTTAAGTTTCAGTGTTTTTTTTCCATACATATTTAGTTTTCCTTTCCTTACTCAAAAAGTATACTTTGAATGTTCAGTCTTTTTACTATGATTATTACTACTATTATTTTTACTCTTCCACAATTCACCTTGTCAATGTCACCTAGTAATGCCGATATTGTATAGGAACCTGGGCTACCTTACCTATTTGCCAATCTCCTTATCGATAATTACCATGTTCAAATGATGTTATATTTTATTTTCTGTTTATATATGTATTGCTCCATTCAAAAGCTAGTGATCATATAAAGCGGTAGGGTATATGCCTAGGCCATCTTGCAGTTATTTTGACTGTCACAGAACTGTGACAGCATTATTTTATAAGTGTCATTATCAAAGATTTTGGTCTGACTTGTTTTTGGTACTACTCGACATTTACTTTTACGATTTGTTGGAAACAGTTGGCAAGCTATGTGATAAATCTTTCGGCATCATTATGAATATGTTTGTGGATAGATATTTGAAATCTTGCAAATTACTGGCAAGTGGGTTTTGGTCACATCCTTCTCCTTGTATATCTTCCGTTAGACCGAGGCAGATACATTCGAATAACTACTTGCAAGCAAAAGTACAATATCGTACAACTATCTAGCACAATAACTGTGTGATAAACAGGTTATAAAAGCGAACCTAAACAAAAACTTATATTCTTGAACATGTTGCTAAAGATTCTTATTTCTAAAGAATATCTCATTTAGTTCTATCTAATATGACATGTGCAGGTATATTTTTGCACAACATAAGAGAAAGAGAAGCTTGTTGAAATATCGTATGCTAATAATTTCGTGTTGCATTAAACCTATAATACTGAATAAAGCCATTGTTACATAGACTCTTTATAACTCAGTGAATGCTCATGAGTTTCTGCTCTACAGTTTAATTATCACTGTCGATCAATGTCGCTACTGGTTAGGGTTTGGTATCTCTGACTTATTTTTACCTGCAAAGTACTAAATAGTCACACGTAGACGATAAGACGTGAAATGACGATGCATAAGAAGTAGACTGACTTTTAGGACTTTCAGAAGCGTTTTAAACAATGAAAATAAAGGTAAAATAAATATCGTACTATAGATTAAGAGGTATTTTAAAGGAGAATGATATTGTTATACATTTAATTTATTAAAATATATTGCTTTTGTGATCCTGGTCTGTGTTATTTATTGAATTGGGTACACGTAGCTAATAATATGTAAGTTGGATGATCGCTTAAAATCTATTAAGAATTCTGAAGGTTTATTGTATACACTTATCATTTAATTGTCTGTTCTCATATTAGATGTTCAAAGTACAGTGCTACACTTGTCACAGCTAAGAAATCAAAACGTGGTAAGAAAGGTGAACAATCGTCAGGAGGTAGTCTTCCAAACACTATGTCCATTGATTTTGATGAGAATGCTGATGATGCTGAATGTGTTCAGAATTCGCATTCTTTTATGAGTGATACTAGTAATAATTTTAAAAAGGATGATTTGGTTACATTTAAAAATTATTTAAATTTTTCTCGCCCTGTGACATCGATACTAGCACACCAGGTAAGTTTAAGGTTATTTTTTTACTTACTATTAACAGGTAAATATTCATTTATTTGATCCGTAGGTAGACTTTACTCGTGAAGGCTAGCGGCACTACGTGGTTACTGAAATACAAGCGGGCTTCGAACCTGTGCGGTTTAGTGACTGAAACCCGAGTACTTTAACCACTGATCCCAGCATTAAATATTGATGGGTAGTAAGGCTAGGAAGCTTCAAACTGATATAAAATTATTAATGAAGGGGTTTTTCGGTGTTAACGGGATAAATATTGTATTAAAGCATATGCTGTTCCGGATTGTGTTGGGGCACACTGATTGGCCATTTCCTAACTAATCAGCGCTAGCGAAAACTTGGAGAGGATTCTAGAATCTTATGTAAAAATTGTAAATGTGCTAAAGTTTTTTTTATTGTGAATCCTACATACATCCAACCTTATTTATTTGTAATATAATTAATCTCCTGTTCAACCGTGTTCTGACTTGCTGAGTGGAGGTAGTATCAGAGAGTACTGAGCAATAAAAGTAGCTGGGTCGAGCCCTCATATGCTCTGGTACGGCTGAGAGTGAGGAAAGTCAGCTCTTTCGAAATGCTCTCAATTAGCCACGTGCATACAACCACTACTGGGGAAGTCCTACTCACTGCCTTCTCGTGGCGGGGGTGTTGCTTACGAAATTGAGAGGACAAAAAGCGAATAATAAATGTGATGAACTTTCAAAATTTAGCGACCGGTCCTTCCGCTAAATTTAAACTCTGCATACATCTAAGGATCGTAGCCACATAAAATCTAATGTCATACTTGTAAAGATCTTAGTGAGTGGTTAGTCGTTGCACATTAAAGGCCTTGAACTCAGTCCTGCAAGATTTAGGTGTTTTATGTGTAAACTGCATTTGAACTCGAAAAAACAACTGTTCACAGCTATAAGATAGTTCATGGACTAACCTTCTATAAACAACCAATTAAAACCAGATAGCACTGAACTGGTGTTTTGTCCTAGTGCGGGACTTTTCAGGAGTGTGCATGCACAAGATCAAACGTAAGACCATCAGGTCTCATATTAGGCGCTTAACCTTCAAACCACTGAGTCGACAACCCATAGTTTACATTCCTAAATCCAGTCAATTTACTATATTGAGGAACCAGCTTTTAATGCTAATAGTGGATAACTGTTTCACACTCCACTGGTCACGATATCCCACTAGAACTCGGGGAATTACAAATGATACAATTAGTATCATTATTGTTGTAATGCATTAAAAACCCTTTTTTCCCCAATAACTATATACATAGGTGTTAGCTATTAATCGAGCCAACGAAAGGGGTGTGATTACCGTAAAAATCCACTTGTCACCACAAGTACAACATAATTGTGCAACATTTGTATCTCAAAAATATTTTCCTACGACCAACCGTATTCATTGGGATTTTGTAATGTCAGCTTTCAACGATGCATGGAAACGTTTAATTGATCCACATTTGGTGCGTAGTATACGGTAAGATGGTTCTCTTATCTCTGTTATTTTAGTCTTTGTAAAAATAGTGTAAACTCCTCTCAGGGAGTCAGACTAGCCAATTGAGTTACTATTAAAATCCGAATTGTAAACAACGGTCGATTTGGATAGTTTACATTATGAAAATATTCTCATTCATTAACCATTAAGAACCAAGAAGTATTAGATTTCTCTTTTTCTCCTATTACGGGGCTTTTCATCGGTGTGCATTCAGCAACCAATCATAAGGAATTGAACCCAGTATCTTCATGTCTCACAACGAGTACTGTACGTTTATTTGTAAAATCATATTGTTATTAATGCTAATTTACTGAATGATGTGCACAAACCTCATTTCAAAAGGTTCCTAATAAATCTTCAATCGTTGTAGTACAATCAAGGGAAACGCGCTTCCTGTATTAGTTAGATAAAGATAATTTACTAAAAACAATAATCTAATTATTATCTGATAGCTGTGTCAAATGCAACGTGAATGGATAGCACATCAAAATAATGTTTGTTCACAGGAAGTATAGGAATTTTTTTAGGTTAACAACTGAGATTGTTAAGCAAATATAATTACGATAACAAACAGGTCCAAATGTCTTACATTTAGATGCTTAGAATGATTCCTCATTATAACGAGAGGACATCAAAACTTCTATTTCCTAAAATCGTTAGTAACGACATAAGTTACTGAATATTAGTAAGTAGTATCATTTCTTATTGAAAGCACAATAGAGATAGTACCCCCAATACAGTTTGAAAATAGTCTTGTCCGAATTACAACACGTCAAGCTTCTGGTGGTTGAGGAGTAATTCAATTTGCGATCACAGTTTGTTTAATATCTATAGCTCGGAATAGGTCGGTTAGAATTGATTGTTGAAAACATGAATTTCAATGAAGGAATCTCTTTTCGACGGATTGATTTAGAGTTTGTATATATTTATATAAAATTAATCCCGTGAGAACATATGAAAAGCGAATAAACATGATGACACAATAGGAAGATCATAATGATAGATAGCGTAATATGAATAATAAAAATGAAAGATTGTGTGCGTGCAAATAAAAAGCTTTGTAAAGTTAATAAGAAGTTAGCAATGGGTTACAATGTGAATGGATTAAGATAATTAAAATGTTTTGTTACAATAATCACAGATAGTAAGGGGGGTAAAGTGATTGGACCCAACGTAAACCCCATTGCGGTCATCGTTGTGATATCTACAATTCTTGGTTTCTAGGCATATTTCTTTGATGATTTTGATCCAGACTTTACAACGTCGTCTATTTTTCCAATTAAAATAGCACTAAATTAACAACTTCAGCTCAAGATGCATCTCTTGAAGTATTTTCAGAAAATCTCCGACGTCTCCTAATGACGGCACCGTTACGTATTCCAGTTTCATCAAGTGATTCCACAGTGAAGAATGACAATGATATTGGCATGATATCTTCAGCGTCTGGTGCACCAGGTGATCGTCTTCCTGTGATTGGATTAGATCCAGGCTGGAGAAATGGTTGTAAATGGGCTGCATGTGATCCTCATGGAAATGTTCTAAGCACAGGTATTTTATGGCCACCGCATACATTGTCTGCCATTCCACCGAAGAAATTGAGCATGCAAAATGAACCAATGAGTAATAATGGTTTGGGTGCATTGACTGCAGCTATGCAACGTCATCAGTAAGATTTTTTTTCATGTTGGTGTAGCTTATTGAACTTTTTTCATAATTGTCAATTCAAAGTTGGTCTTAAGTTTCAACTATCTAGACTTACAGTGTATTCTCATACTTAGTCTGTCTGAATGATGTCTCGGTGGTTAAGGCGTTCGACTCAGCCACTAAGTCGTTTCGAACGGTGCTTCACACGCTTCGGATTAGGCAAGAGAGTAGTATCGTTAACCTCCGTACTTGGAGCCGAATACACTAGTGTGTGGCTGGTAAATGAGTGTCTAATACATGTACATGTCAAGGATATAAGAACTGTTTTACAACCTTTAAGACACATTCTTTTTAGCCCGTTTAAAATACTATCCATTTGTAGCTGTGTATTTGCCCCTTCATATGCAATGTTCCGTGCTATGAAAGTCTATGAAATCTATCTCTCTGTTACATGTCTATTCGATTACCTCTTAATTTATTAATGTATCGGCTACTGGGAAGGACATGAGATATCACACCTCCATTGTTTTCCCTAACGTGGATGAGATCATCAGTCTTCTTTACCTTGCTTTGCCTTTACAGTCTTCTTAACGAACGGGAAATTAGCTAATATCAAATTGCCTACTTTATTGTATGCTCAATGACATGTAGATATTGTTCTATGACAAGTGGCCATGCTGTTTTTGTATTCTATTTGATGATTTTTCTATCTTACATCCTGTCCAATAAGTGTATTATTTTACTGATTAGATATAAGCCTATACAAGCCAGTTGTGCTCCTATTTATTAACATAATCCTATTCTGAAACTTGACAAAATTGTGTTTTCGTGAGCGACAGTCATTCGATCGTCTCACATCGATGCAATTAGTTGATTGAAGACCATACAGACACATTTTCTGGTTCATGATAACGGTGTGAATTTCAGCTTAAAGGGCAGGCTTTCGTGTCAGGGGAGATGCATTGTATTTTGCTATTAAATATTATCAAATAACTTTTGAGCAGTTATATTCCTGTATCTGTGGCGGCCCGTGGATCTGACTCCATTAAGAGTGTATGAATGTTTGTTATCACCTATTCTCGTATATCACCGTCGACTTAAATCACGTTAGTCAATAACGGAATTTAGATAAGTCAATTAACGAGAATAGCCTTTGAATACATATATTTCGTAAGCAAAGTGAATGTAATAGAACAGAGCAAAACGACGCGCGTGGAAGATGGCTGGGAAGCCAACTCCATTTCAAGCCGGGCATTACTCAATATTTATAGGCAGACAAAATAAACTACAGACATGTGATGAGTCATAAAGTGTACACACATACGCTCATATAAAAACAGTCAAGGCTAATAAGCGAATAATTAACAAGGTCAAAATATGACTCAAATAGAATGAATAGAATGGAATGTCCGGAAACTAGAATAAGATCTATTATGGGCTAAAACTTATGACTAAAACTACATATCATGGACCAGTTGTTATGTTAGATTCAATTAAACTTCTGTGCAACTTCAAATTTCGTATATATGTTTATTAATATGATTTAAACCTTTTGTTGAGACAATTTCAGTTTAAAGATATCACTAGTATAGGGGTTGTAGAGATTATTAAGTTTTTGATTGAGATCATGAACCAATTGATGTTAGACCATCACAATTGAAAACCTGGAAGCACTGGACGGCCGTTTTGTCCTATTGTGGGACTCTTCAGCAGTGCGCATCCACAATCCCGCGAGCGGGATTCGGCCGTCCAGTGCTTCCAGGTTTTCAATTGTGATGGTCTAACATCAATTGGTTCATAATCTCAATCAAAAACTTAAAGATATCAAATAACTGATATTTTGATGGTGTTGTGTTCTCATGGCTAGTTAGTTTAATTGAGGAGCGTTAACTATCGTTCTGGGTAGCACATAATCAATGTCAGCTTAAAACAGAAGTGAGGTTTTCAGTTATTTCAAGAGCGTTTTATCGGTCAGTTATGATAGCCTTTATAAAATACTTGTGAAACGTCTGCAAAGCTCACTTCTATATTAAGCTTTCGTTAATGTGCTCTCTGGGACAATAATGAAAGCTACGAAATTTAAATATTTAATTCAAAGTACACAACACCATTGAAATGCTATTTATTATAAATGATCAACAAAATTATCCCATACAAATGTGCTGTAATTCCAATACTGTCTAACATATCTTAAAAAGAATATTACAACGGGGTAGTTCTAAATTAGAACATGAAGTAAAAACAAATAAATATGTAATCTAAATAACAGAATATGTAGTGGTAAGATTTATTTTTACTTATTTATTGAATTAAATACATAAACGTTGGTTCAAGAAAGCACCAAATATTTATGCGTCACGCTTTGTCATTCGATTTATGTGAGGGCTGGGATATTGTCCGGGTGGTCAAACCGAAGCAGATGGGTTCTCTTAGGCAGCCATTTCCCAAGCCTTTAATCCAGAGGTCTTATCCACAAGACAATGGAGCAACGTCAGGAGATGCATTCTCATAGTAGCAAATAACCGAGAATAGGTTCATACGATATTTGTTACTTCAGGATCCAGGAGCCCATTTGCACCGTTGGTTTTGGATCAGGATTTTTCAACTTCTCTAGATGGATCCATGATATTCACCAACCAGATCGAAGCTACGAACATTCGCTTTTCGTTCTCCCAATTTCGTAAACAACATCCTTGTTGTGATAAGGCAGTGAGTGGGACTTCCCCGATAATGGCTGTATATGCGTGACCATATGAGAGCATTTCGAGTGTGAGAGCTGACTCTCCCGACCTTTGGCAGTACCAGGGCGTTTGTGAACCAGAAACACGAGTTTGCACAAAATTTACATATGATTTTTCTAGTATCTTCCGAATCAGTATAGTTCAATTTAATCTTGACTTGATAATACAATATTCGATAGCTCTATCGTACTAACAAGTTATCACTAGCTTGTATTGTATTTACGTTTTTATATTTATTTTAGAATCGAGACAATAGCTCTTGGTAATGGTCAAGGTAGTCGGCAAACTGGTTCTTGGTTGGCACATTTAATAGAAATTCAACATTTCAAACCTTTAAATGTTCGTTATGCTGTTGTAAGTGAGTGTGGTGCTTCATATTACAGTGCGTCAACTCAAGCTTGTACAGAATTACCAGATTTAAATGTTAGTTTCCGTGGTGCAGTATCTATAGCTAGACGTTTACAAGATCCTCTAGCTGAACTAGTTAAAGTTGAACCGAAACATTTAGGTGTTGGTATGTATCAGCACGATATACCAGTTAATCAATTAACGTCCGCTGTTCATAATGTCATGGAAGAATGTATAAGTTTTGTTGGTGTTGATTTGAATGCAGCTCCATTGCATATTTTATCACGTGTTGCTGGTTTATCTGAGATGAAAGCCAAAGCAATTTTAACATATCGTTCACAAATTGGTCCCTTCCGTTCAAGAGCTGATCTTCTTAAGGTAAGTATTATGTGTACCTTAAACGTAAATTAATATTGTTAATTTTGTGAGAGAAATCTAATGGAGAAAGTTGTTCAACACACCCAATGAATTCTGTAAAAGATAATAACATGTCGGAATAGAAGTAACTGTTATCGATGGAATTTGATGATCACACAATATATCTTAAATTGATCGAGATTGAAATTGTATGAAAAGAAACCTATTGAGTGGTCCTAATGAATAACAGTTCACTTCGAAACCTAAGAGTTTTAGATGCAATCCATGATGCTGTGATGGTTGCTCGTTGCCAATGGTTTCCATATGAAAAATCTGTCCCAGTGTTTCCTGGTTTTCATTGGTGCTCCAGCTAATATTAATCTATAACTAACACAACATACAAAATAATAAATGGGTGTAAACTGGTCCTGAATTGTTATTTACCCTATGTTATACTTGAATTAATTGAAAGGAATATTTGACCAATGGATAATAGTAACATAGTAAATTGGGTAATATAGTTACAAGATGTCGAGTTTTCATGAGTTTCTTCTCCATTTAATAAATGCTAAAGTGAAGTTCTTAATTCAAATGAACTATTATTAATCCATGACTATAAGTAGTGATATGTAAGTGATAAGTCTACTAACTGAGCGTTTGAACTGGTTTTTTAGGCTCTTCTAATAACCCAAGGCTAAATGTACACGGCGGCTTGAACACGAGAAAAAAGGCTTCAAGTGTCGAAAAACCATTCAACACTGGTTGGATAAAATGTTTCCCAACGTTATCAAGGCCTCTTTGTACTTGTTCGGTGAATACTTTGGATTTCCCTAACAGTTAGGCAGGCTTCTGTCAGCTTGATTTCAATAATTTTATCAGTTTCTAGAAAGTGTGAAATTTCCTGTGTTGCCTAAACAAATTATTAAGGATGTGTCCTGGCCAATAAATATGCAAGTTGAGGGTGTAGAAGTTATTTTTCCAAAATTTAGTACACAATAATTCTATCGCTCTCAAGATATTCTTCATTTTGTAGTGTTGTTATATTCGTTCCGTCTTTGTTTCTATCATTTGAAATATTCCTGAGAATTTTGAGGAATGAAAGCCTTTGTTGCACTTACGTTCTACTTTACCTCGCTAAATCCTAGGTTCAAACTACATTCCACCTACTTTGATTTGAGCAGTATCATTATGCTTCACACTCATATTTAAGTACCTGGAGCTGAATTTTTTTCATTTTATAATTGCGAAACCATGGTCCACCACCAGTAATGACCTGTTCAAGGGAAACTGAAATTTACGCTTAAGTTGCCTCAGTGTGTCCAACGTTCGATTCTTCTTCAGGTGCCAGGATGTTTTGACCAAATCCCACAGATTTGGTGTTTTCTGGCCCATTGTCTACGGAAATTCATAACATACCATATATTATAGTCTTTTCATTATATATAAGTGGCTTACAGTTTTCCGGAACTAATGAACGTAACAGACCAGTTTGTTAGTTTATTGAAGATGGTGGGAGAGGGTATGTATATATCGCTCGAAAAGTCAAATCATATTAAACCACATGTCTATTTATGAATGGTCAAATTGATTAAGGTGATCACATGTGAAAGTAGACGTTAGATATGTCAATAATCCATTGACGATGAAACAAGGCTGTTGATGTTGAATATTAGCATATGCCAAACTGGATTCAGCATCTTGTCATTTCGTCTTACGTTTCAATGGTTTGCACTCTTGAATTTTAGTCATGTAGTTAGAAAATTTGACGATGTAACTGAACCTACTCAGTTGTGAAGTGTCACACAGTATCTTGAACGCTAACTTAAAAGGTATTGATGTGTTTTGCATGTATGTATGTGTGTTGTCGAGATTTATGAATCCCGAATTTCACATGGCGAATTTCCGTGAGTTAAACAACTAGTGAAAAGCCATAAAGACTAGTGGAAAACTATTTTATCCTGGTTTTTCAGTGGTTGTCTTAACTGCAAATCTATGGTGTATTAGTCTAATATGTGAATCGGTTCATTTTGTAAAGTAAAATATGCAATGTTAATGTTTATTACTGGTCTTGGTCTCATGGTTTCATGCTTCATTTCTCTTCTCATTTGTTATGGCATATTGTATCATATAGCCATTGTGGTTTTCTATAAGCGTATCATGTGAATGAACTTCATTTTGTGTATATGTATGATTAACGAGACGAAATACTTGCAAAATCCTAGACATGCTTGATGTTCATCAGCAGTATCTTTAAATAAGAATAATAAATTCTATTTCAAGATATTATATGGTACTTTTATTTTGTGTTAGGTTGATAGTGTTTTATTCGGTGTATTACGTTTGTAAATGTTACACTGGCATTGTTTGTTAGTCACATCATTGCATAGAAAGACGTTTTTTAGTGGTGGATTACTTGTTTTATATTCTGTGGTTGATGATTGCATTTCATATTATGTCTTCTCGATAAAGATGTGGTCGTGAAACAGGATGTTGTGTAGTCTTTAGGTCTAGGGAATGATAATCATTGATCAGCGACTTCCGTGCAATGATAGGAAGTTTTACTTATATATTTGAACACAAATATTGGTACAAGAGAGCGCCAATATATATGCGCCACACAAAACAATGAGAATTTAAAGAGAAGGAAAAATAGGTAAGGAGCGTGAAAAAAAGAGAACAACGACCAGATTAGTGTAAGGTAGTGTAATAGTAATAATAATGGGGGAAACGAAGAAGGTAGAATCAGAAGAAATCTTTCAGTTAAGGAACATACAACCACATTTTACGAAAAAAGTAAAAGAAGGTTACAGCAGGATCGCTACTGGCTTCTATTCTGAACCATACCTGATAACGTCTCTAGCCACTGTGTAGCACCATCTCTCTGACCCCAACCAGGCAGTCGTGAAGGACCAACACAAGTCAGCCCTTCGCAGCTTTATTTCATACCACGACACCAAGTCATGCACTAACCACCTCTCCGCTTTATCCAACCAGTCCCAGAGTCGGCAAATAATGCACGACATGGAATTCTCTGAGATGACATTCGTATAACATGTCCAAGCCACCGAAGCCGGTGTTTCAAGATGGTGACACCGATTGCATTATCATCTCTGTGCCCGAACACACAATGCCTAACCTCTTCATTACTAACATGGTGCTGCCAAAGATGGCCCAGATTGGTATAAGCCGCTCTGGCTTTCACTATACGTGCATTGACCTCATCACTCATACCCCCACCAGCATTTATGCAGCTGCCCAGATACACAAACTTCTCGACTACTTCTATCTTCTCACCATCCAGAGTGAGTACAGGATTAGAATCCTGCCAGTCTTGTAGAAGTACTTTGCACTTGGAAGGTGTAAAGCACATACCATACCTACGGACACTGTCAACTGATTGAGTGCGGATTGCATGCCTTGGGCATTATCGCACAGTAAGACAATATCATTCGCATACTCGAGGTCGAGAAGTCTTTCTCCAGGCAACAGATCTATACCACCATTACTTACATCCATCAGAGCTGTTTCCAGAATGTCATCGATGGCAAAGTTGGGAGTTTAATAGGAGAGATATTATTCTAGCTGTCATTATTTGTATTCAAGGTGAATTGTAAGTAATTAATTAGGGTAATTTATGGATAGCGCTTTTATTTTAGGTTAAAGGTATTGGACAAGCTACGTTCGCTCAATGTGCTGGATTTGTACGTGTCAAACCCACATATTCTACAACTACCTTAGATGGGACTAAGTAAGTTTCTTTCACTTATTTCTATCAGTTACATAATAAAATTTTAATTGAGATCATTGGGTAACAGTGTGTAGACTTCAAGTCTTATTGTAGTGTGAGCTACTTATATCCATATAAGTAGAATATAACAATGGTTAGGAATAGAATGTATTTCAGTAGGAGATCGAGAAGGAAAGAACGGGATGGGAAAGGAGTTGGTATAAAATTGCATGAACAATGAAATGTGAGACGATGGACTGATATTTGCAAAAGAAACAGTCATGTTTGATATTTTGCAAATCAATTATTTACTGTTTGGTTCTTAGATTTTACTAAGATGTTCTGTAATTTCGTGACCAGAAGCAATCGATTGCCCCCACTCGTGTTCTTGTTCACCTCAGTATGAATGTCCTTCGAGGAAAAATTCGTCGTTATATTAGGCTTGCATATTGATGGATTCACCTTTACCCTGAAGATCGAATCTATTCAGTTATTAGTGATAACCAGCGTGGAGCCTGGCACAAGTGCACGTTAGCTCAGACTGTCATACTACTTTGACATGACTAGGTGAAATTCGGAAGATAAATTCTAATATTTTGAGTATGGTTTGAGAAGATCGAATGAAAAGATATGTTTGAAGGAAAGTGACTGGATTTGCTCTATTTCGTCTGATTCTGAGCCATTTCACTCAACCTACTTTTATCCACTGATGACAAGTATGGCCCAAGCCTAAAGGAAGTAATCTACATCTACCAATATGGCTCAGATCAACAGTCGATGACTTCATGGACGAGTGCTACATATTTTGGTTTAGCTGATCAAAGCCTTCTTCCAACGTGCTCTTACATCATAAAGACTGTTACTGCTTCCACTGTTTTGCATTCATCTCGATAACTTCATATTGTTTTAATGATGTGGTTTGGAAATTTGAACTACCGATTCACATTTGTGCCAGGTTTTACGTTGCTTATGACCGATTGACTAATAAACCTATTCAATTCCATTGTCATTACCTACTTTTCACTTGTACGCAATTGATACCCTCTTATCTTTACCAGTTGTCTTGACATTGTCACTAAAGTTTGTATTTCCTATTGAATTTGTAATTTCTCACGATCGATTGTTTTAAAACTTGATAAATTACGTAATTTCTATATGCATTTAATATTCGGATGCATTGCGAGCTGTTTGGACCAGTCGTTAATCAGATCGTGCAATCTGTGACTTACCTAACAGGAAACACTAAAGTTAAAATAAAGAAGAGTAGTGTGCTATATCGTCTTAGTGTAGGATTCTCCATCTTTATGTATGCAGATATCTCCACCTTGAATCATTTTCGAGGATCTTCAAGTTACCTTTTGACGAATAATTCTGGAATTCCATGAACGAAAACCTTTGAAGTAAACTATTCTCCACAAACCTTATGCCCACTAGTAACTAAGTTTGAGATGTAATTGCATTGTATTCACAGGTATATGAATTGTAGTGTGAACTAAGAATCCCTGAAATAACGCAATCGAATCAAGAAGTACGACACGAACATGAACAAATGTATTGTATTGATTGTTGAGTAGTAAGCAATGTTATGTTTGTTTAGTCTTGTAGTTACCTTTGATTAGATTGTGTCGCTCAATTTGCAACGTGGCCTCCAGTCTACATGTGATTCACTATCGTGTGCTCTGTGTTGAGATGCCAGATGCCCACTAGTAACTAATTTTGAGATGTAATTCTGAAAATCCGTGAACAGCATAGTTCAACCATGTTTTAGTTCAAGCCCGTTACTCACTAATGACATTGGCAGATGGTCGATTCAGTTTAAGCACTCGCCACAGGAGATCTATGTATCTTGTGTTTAATATCTGATGTGGTTGTGAATGCATACTTCTGAAGAGTCCCATATAAAGACGAAATATTTGTGAAATGCTTTTATGTTTCAAATGTTTTTCTTACTAAATATAAGAAAAGTGACATTTCTGTCTTATACTTTACATTGCCATGACGGCTTGTTATATATGTGTGTATGCATTCTATTTCATGTGTTTGTGCTGAAAACAATTGGCACTTTGATTTTCTGTTTATTTCCTTTATTTTTCAACATTCATTAACAATTCAGGGATGTTGAAATGATTTCCATTTCGAGTGGTGATGATGATGGTGATGATTTAACTTGTGATACTAAAATAACCAATATTTCCACTGGTAGTACTAAACGTAAACATATATCCAATGAATTTAACAAGAAACGTAAAAAACCTCGAATTATGGAGGTAACAGTTACTGATCAATCCGATGTGAATTGCTTTAATCCATTAGATCAGACTGCTGTTCATCCTGATTCATATAAAGTCGCAGCAAGGTGAGTTTGTTGTATTCTCTGAGAAAGTATTGTAATTGTTTATAGTATAAACCTATCGGATGATCTCGAGTACTGTTATGGATATGTGAGTAATTTTCACTTTTCAGCTGTTCATACTACGTGAAAGGATATTTCTTCTTAACGAAGGTACTTGTAACGTAAACTGAATTAGTCGTTGTTGTGGCTAACTGGAAACGTGAACCCAGAGTTCAAGTGCCAGCTGATCAAGGTCGATCACACACAGCCTTTTTATGCATAGTTGTAGATATTACAGTCAGCACCTTCAAAGGCCTTACCTACGGAGATGGGAGTCTGGTGGCGTGCTAGATAATGAGTGCTAATTTTAGGAGCCATGTATTCTAACCGTTTCCTCCCATCGTAGGAAGGCAGTGTCGCTGTAGACTAGTTTTGTGGAGGATATATTGTACTCCTATCTCATATCCATAAAGTCAGTATCCTAACTTTGCCTTCAGACATAAATTTGTACTTAGTGAATTGGTTGTATCACTGTTGAAATTAGTTTAGGTAAACGAAGTGTCTCAGTGAAAATAAATATGCCCTTGTGCGGCCGAAGGTGGGGAGAGTTAGCTCTTGCTCTGGAAATGCTCTCATATGGCCACGCGTATACAGTTAATTCCAGGAAATCTCTACTCACTGTCTACTCGAGTCGGGATTGTTGCTTACAAAATTGAGAGGATGAAAAACGCATGTCCAGCGTTTTAATCTGGTTGGTGTATATGGAGAATCCACTTATGGGAGTTGGAAAAGGCCTGGTTCCAAATCAATAGTGCACATGAGCTCGTGGATCCTGATGACACAAATGACATATGAACCCATTGTCGGTCATCGTCTGCCATGAGAATGCATCTCCTGACGTTGCTCCATTGCCTTGTGGATTAGACCTCCGTATTAGAGGCATGGGGATTGGTTGTTTAAGAGAACCCACCTGCTTCGGTTTGGGCACCCGGACAGTATCCCAGCCCTGACACAAATCAATGACAACTGCTACTGAACTCATCGCTATTGTGTGGCGCATATGTATATATGTAACTGCTACCGGTGTGCTTATTGTTATATCCGCGCGAAAATTAAATCACGAGTAACTTCTGAGACATTATTTGACTAATATTACCTATATATTCTTATAGTATAATTATTCAATAATTAGATTATGTACATTTATATTCTGCTTATTATAAGCTTCATTTTGATATAATGTATTATTATCAGAAGGGGTTTGTGGAGATTTTAGAAATTTTCACAGATTTAAATCATGAGTCAGTTGAAGCTAGACCACCATTGAAAACCTGAGGAGTCCCATACTAGGACGAAACGGCCGTCCAGTGCTTCCAGGTTTTCAATGGTGTTCTAGCTTCAACTGACTCATGATTTAAATCTGTGATAATTTATTATTGTACGATTTACTGTTCGTAAGCTATGTTCAATTTATTGACTACTGTCTGCCACGCTCACAGCCACATTTGGTCAAATATTGTACAAATGTTATTTTCTATTTTGTGGTATGTTATGGTCTGTTTGGTTGATATATAAACCGAGTATGTTTGAAATAAATGTTTCGATTCGATTCGCATATTGGAAGCTGGTATTGGTGTTCTGGACTAAAGCGGACGGGCTAGGAGGACATAGGATCAATAAGCACACTAGGCTGCTCATACCGATCGAACGTCATTGGTTTGGCATAGTGCGAAGATTTGTATAAGTCGTATTTTGATTAGTGGTTAAGTCACGTGATAAAAAAACCGGACATGAAATCATAACAATTATGTATGTTTACGAATAAATATACTAATTGTGATCGCACTTAACTTTCAGTACCATTATACCATCTATTTACGAGTAATTCGTGTGGATGTTAGATCTTCACTTCGTAGTGGAGTCCATGTCCGCCTAGTTCGGTTTGGGCAACGGAATTTATTTTTATAGAGTGTGTTCACTTGATTACTGAGATACGTCAATGTTTAATGTACTGAATTGTATGCTAGTAATGTGTATCATGTAGACAAAATAATTCAGTTTCATTTTCTCATAATTTACTAATGTTTTTCTTCTTGTGTTGTAATCTTCTACATTTCAGTATTATTTCATTACTCCAATTAAATCTGACAGATGTAGGGTCAGTTAAAATGAGAGCAGCTGCGACACAGTTTATGATCAGCGAAGATAGTGAGTGCTTTTATGCTTTCTATATGTTTTGCTTGTGTGGAAAAAGCATGTTGTGGTGTTGTTTTGACGAGTTATTTACATTCATCTAATTAAATCAATCATAAATTGGAAGGATATTTTCATGTACAAGAAGTTTTCTAGTGTACTGATAATTTGAATGTTTAAAAATATTTCATTTTTCTCTGTTTATTCGTTTAGGAGATAAACGACTTGAACAGTTTTGTTCCAAAACTGTTGGACTTGATACTTTACGTGATATTATCGTAGCACTAACTCGTCCTTTGGATTTTGATGAGCGTCAAGGTATGATTATTACCATTTATTTGTTTAATAAGACTTACTTTGTTGTCACTGTTGTTCGAAGTGAATTTTAAGTGGTTAGTCGGTTTAGAAACGTGATCTATCTATCTGTCTATCATAGTTGAAGATATTGGGTAATTGTATACTGACAACGCTCTCCTAAAAATACCCATTAACATATGGCGCCCATATAGATGCGATTCTAAGAATTTGGCCATTTAGAAATTCCAAAATGCTCATATGTTTTGCTTCTAATAAATACCTATTAACCTTCCTGGTCTTGTTCACTGTCACATTCATCGTTAACAGAATGAGTTTCTTTAGATGAATACAGCGTGGTTTTGATGGTTTCTTACATGAATTGTGTGTCGTTTTTCACTTATCCTTCGTTCGTACCATTTCCTCACCTCTATTTTTCCTCACATTATTATCATTTTGCTTTTGTATGATGTATATTTCTTTAAGCCCTTCTGGGTTATGTTTAAATCCTGACTACTAAGAACTGTACATGAGGGGAGTGAGTGTTGAGGCCTTAATCTTATAAACATTTTTCTCAGTAGTCGTCGTAGTCGTGGTAGTAGAATGTCTTTCTGCTAAAGTGTATTTGTGATTTATTTAGTAATATTTGTCCGTTTACTGTAACATTTAATGAAACAACGTGGTTTTATTCTACTTTAGACTGTTTTACTCCATTGTTTCATTCGACCGTGATGAAAATATCGGATTTACGTAAAGGTATGCAAGTGAAAGGTCGTGTAGAGAATGTCACTACTTTTGGTGCCTTTTGTGATATTGGTGTTGAAGAAAATGCGTATATTCCAAGACATGCGTATCCTCGAAATTGTCCAACTTCCAACCTAAAAATTACCAATGATACTTCTGCTGGAATTGGCGTCAGTGACGGCGGTAATATTCATCACAAAATGTTCACTTTACGTTTGGGTGATCGAATCAAAGCTATTGTCTCGAGTGTTGATATTAAGAATAAGCGAATTGCATTGGATAAAGTTTCTGTAATGACGTAAACATGATTGCTGATTTAAACACTGAGAGAGAGGAGATTCAAGCAAACGAATTTTGTATAGCATTTCCACATTTATTTTTTAATTAACAATTTATTTACATAAGATTTTGTTATTGAATGGTTTCTTCACGTTGTGTAATTTACTTTTCTACATATTTTGTTTACAGTTTATACGATTTATAAACAACCGAATCTAACTTATCTTTCTCTTACAATCGATTGATTGTTGAGTAGTAAGCAATGTTATGTTTGTTTAGTCCTGTAGTTACCTTTGATTAGATTCTGTCGCTCAATTCGCAACGTGGCCTCCAGTCTACATGTGATTCACTATCGTGTGCTCTGTGTTGAGATGCCAGATGGTGGTTGCTTGTAATCGACAGGAAACTTGATCTAGGTTTTGTCCTATGCGGCATCCACCACCAAGATCTACCTGTCTTTTTGAGGTAACTGATGCTCTGTAGTGAGAATCATCCCGTCTCACTCAGCTTCCGAATCATAGACGTTAGAAGTCAGATTTTCGGGTTACGATTGACTTCCTATAGGACTGTGATATCTTTATAATTGATTGTTCACTTATTAGTGACCAACGTCACAGTTTTCTAGTTTTATATATATTGCTGACCGAATTTTATTGGTCCAGTTACAGGTACACTCTGCTGACGAGTTCCAAGTACTATGAAAACTAGATTCATGATTTCTTGTCTACCAGCTAACATAGTTTTACCCTATTTGTTATGATGTTTTCAGTACTTGAAGTTAGGTATGTGGTAGTGATGGTGATAGTTGGTTATTTCGATTAATGTAGACTATAACATGATGGGTAATTAAAAGCAAACTATAGAATAGTAATTAGTTATCGGTTGTGAATTGTTCTTTGTGGTTGTCGGATTTCGTTCAGTAAATTCTACAGTATGTTAATTTAACTGAGTGAATCAAGATTGAAAAGTGTTATATCTAGTAGTCAAATTTTGTTTTAAGAAATATCTGTTTAATCATTGGTATGGTTACGTTGATGTTGATTTTCTGTCTCATCGAAACCTCTTGGATATATGTAGAAACATATTTTCAAATGCAGTGCTTATCTGGAAGTTCTCAAATATTTATTGGAAATCTGCAGTATGTTCTAATGACAGGAGTAAATCGAAATAGATGGCCGAATGATATGATGTTGATTGGTTGAAACTGAATTAAAGAGTAAGTGAATACAGCGTAGAAGCTCTTTTTCTAGGTGTAAATGGGTCACAGTAGTAAATTTTGTTATTGTATTAGCATACGTTTTATGAAAGCCACATATTGGAACGACGATCATCAGTGTAGATGGCATAAACGATGTTTTAATATCAAAGCGAATATTGTAGGCAATTTATCGTTTAGCAAGTCTTTATTTTCCTGTTATACCCTATGAATGAATAGAGTTCATCGTTATACAAACTGTGTCATATAAATTATATGGTATTCGCTAGTCTCTTTTCGAGCAAGTAAATCACTACGTTACACAGTGTAGATTTGTACTACATCGAATTACAATTGAGTATTTCGAAAATGTGAAGAGAATAACAAAAGTTCCTTAATTGAAATGTTTATTTTAATTAAGTTTCCATTGTTAGTTGTCCACATTCATTTATCTACAATGAAAAGGAAGAAAAATAGAAATTATTCAGTATTATGTTGTTGTTGTAGTTGTGACAGTGTTTAAGTGATTAAAGCGTTCAATTGTTAGCTGTTTTATTACGCCTAATTCGTTTTCGTCAATCGGATATGTGCAATACAGCCCTTATACACTTGGGCAATGATTCAAAGTAACGTACACTAATCTGTACTTGGTCACTGGTTGAATAAATAGGTTTCCAATTTTTTATTTGTAAGTAGTACATTCTGTAAAACTAGGTAAAATAGCTATTCAGTCTAATTATTATCACGTTGTGTTGTTTGAATTAATCACATGAAAATTAGTAGTCTGTACCATTCGGTGAATGATACACAACGTCTAGTGAAATTTTCACTTGTGAAAATAAGATTTACATTATAGACAATCTAGTTCATATTGTTGATGAGATTCAAATGAGTTTTTCTGTTCTACACTATTTTCACATTCAGTTACTATGAAGAGATATACTTGGAGATGAATAACACTGGTGTATTTAATCTATATGACATATTTTCAATGTTGTATTAATGTGTAAAGTGTTCAGTGTGTTCCAAATCTAAGGTTGTCTGGTCTGTTGTAAAGTGTAATGTGTTTATTAAGGTAGTCATCTCAAACTGGCATCAATGTGGTTATACCAGATAGTGACTGTTTTTAATTTGATTGAGCATCTATAGTCAAATATGCAATTAGTAATACAAGATTAAATTACGTCTGGTAACTTTGAGTAAAATAGAACGTACTGAGAAGTAGTTTGATTTCTCATCGAAAAATACTGACCTACAATAAGAACATAGTTGATATGGTTTTTGAAGTGAAGTGAAATGGGATATTATGAAGAATTTTAGATTTAAATAATGGTAATTATGGTGTATGTCAGGTAGCGTTTACATTGTTCAATTAACATACACCTACTGTAGTCAACTGAGAAGGATTTCGAAACAATTTCTAAACTGAGGTTTCAAACTTACGCCTTTTTAGTGCCAACCATTCCCGGAGTTCTTGGACTATATATACGATGAAAAATCGAATAAATTGTAGAGTTTATAATTTTGATAAACTATGTCTTCTCATTGCATTATCGAAATTATATATTTATTGTGTAATTACTAATAACTGAATGGAAAGTGAGTGAACACATCCCCTAAATAGATTTCAACAGATTGTATGAGTGATTAATAAAAGAAAAGATCTTTGTAAAATTTACTTGTAGAACTGATATTCATTCGATTTCTAGTGACTAAAATACAAAATGAAAGTTAGTCATTGATTAGCGTGAATTCTGTCTTGTATCAATGTAATAAAACAATAGTACCTGTTTGGTTTGGGATGTTCATGTACCAGTAAGTGTTGTTGTTTTTTTGGAATTGAAATGAATAACGAAAATGAACCACTGTGTTATTAAAGAAGGAAGACAAATGAGTGAAGAAAATGTCCTTTTCGATGATTTAATTTTCTTGCTCTTGTGGAGTAGATTATATTGGCCGCACAGAACGACCACATTTGGAACGCATCTGCCAACATAACTTTACATGACTTTCAAAAGGATTATAGAAGTCAATCAAAACATAAATTTTCGAGCATCTAGTCAATTCCGGTCATTCATTAGTCGTTGATGCGCACTGCTGAGGAATCCCGTACTTGAACGAAACGGCCGTCCACTGATTCCACGTTTTCCATGGTGGTCTAGCTTCAATCGACTCATGAATTCAACTAATAAATTACTACAATCTCTACAATATCCCCTTTCTGATAAATTTTAATAAATAGAAAGCTAATAAACAATATTTCTGTATCACTTCACATATGAAACAAACAAGTTTCACACTTACTCTCCATGTTTATATGAGGTGTAGTGGATACATCTAAACAAGTTGGGGATAATAATGCATGTCTTATTAAGAGTATATAAAATATATATTTCAGATAAATTTGTATTTCCAAATATTACAATATGGTCGAATACTCGATGCTGATTTCGTAACATGATTACAATGCAAAACTCACCATTCCACATGACAGTTAAAATTGTGAGTAACAAAATGAATTTAAGCATGTTCACTGTTGACAGATAAATTCATGAAAACAACTCGTGTTTATATAGTATTTTTGATTGTGGGAGGCTGGACGACGGACAGGTGTCGTGAAGATGCTTCAACGAATCACGATTCACAGAATATGTTTGTATTTGTCTATTTCTTAGAGTGACTGACGTAAACATTATCATGATTATGTTTACTAATAAAACTTCCCTTCATACTGCTACGCAGTGCTTTTGCGTTATCACAAACATATATGTATGGGGAATGCGTTACGTTACACCTAAGTAGTGAAGGAATTTATCTCAGTTATGATAACCATTTGGTTTTTCTAGCTGACTTTAGATAATAAAAGACAATATGAAACCGTCTATCTTGATCACTGTATTAAGGAATAATCAGAATGATATCTGAAGAAAGACATCCTGATGATGATTTACTCACTTGTTTCCTTCTTATTGTAAATGCCCATATGAATCATGTAACTGGATTAGTATTATATACCATTACAGAACTGAGTATACCTCTGTGTAAAGTTTACATCTGTCTTCCTACAAGTAAAATAATCTACCCTTTAGTTTTCATTTCAGATAACATCACATTTCCATGATTAGTAAGAAAACGAAAATACACGACATATTTGAATATGATGTAGTAGCCTGTTTGGATCTCGGTACCAATAAAGGTGCTAATTCGTTTAACCCAGTTTATATTTAGCAATTAATCGGACTATACAATCAACCTAATGTACCATATTTGACACCACTTATCACTGAAGTCATTGATTATGCGAAAGATTAACCTGAACACTTATGATCAAAATGCTTTTCAACTAGTGTACACTGATTGTAATTGAATATCCAATTTGAAGTTTTGTCAGTAATCCATGATCGGATATTTGTAACCAACTGGTTTTCTCATATAATGCAAATCATCAAAGAATGCTAGGCATTTTTTCGATGTTGTAGTTAACAGATGAGTGATTTCACAATATTTCACTGTCGTTGTGTTTTGTAATAAAATATGAAGGTGATTAGTTTATGACAGACATACAGTAGCCAGATTTGTTTTGATTTATTCTGACTAAAATTAGTATGAAATACTAGAAGTTATGTAAAAGATTTTGGTGTTCAATAATGTAAGTTCTCAATAAGCTGGTACATTTTGTCAACAGTGCAACTCAGTTACTGTTAGTTTTCTACTGTGCTAACTCAAGATCGGTCTATCCAAGTAATCCGAATGAGTATATGGGTTGTTTGGGACTGTAATTGGACGAGATGACGTTGGAAGCGAAAAGTTGTGGGTTGGAGTTCTCAAGTGAAAATCAACTGTGGGATGCAGATACATCCGACTGACGAATGTTGAATAAGACAATGTAGAGCTATTCTTAGTCAAAGAGATTTTGTATGCGACATAACTGTGTTTATTTATGTATATGATGGTGGGTATGAAAAATGTATAGTTTGGTTTAGAATTTGTGTAATTAACTAAAATGATAACAGGCATTGAG